TTGTGCTGGGGCCTGCTCCCCAGCCGCCTTTCCCATGGGTTGGCTCCCCTCCCTGCCCTCTGCTGTCTGCGTGAGCCCGGCAGAGCTGTGCTCACTAATGGGGTCAGTCCCAAATTAGCCCCCCTTCTTCGCCCACTAGAGCCGTCTCTGCCTCATCAGCTGCCCCCCAGGGCCAGATCCCTCTCAATCCCTGCCCCTACAGACATCTGAGGCAGGGAGGGGAGATCTGGAGGCTTTTAGGGAGGGGACAGAGGCTGATGTGAGGTGAGGGGGGGGTGAGGGAGACCACCTCCGAGAGAAAGCTTCACCAGGACCCCCAGCTGGACCCCCAACAGCCCATGTGCTTTAAACACCCTTGAGCAGGGGGTGAGGCTCACACCCCCATCACCCCTGAATCTCACACTCAGTTTGGCGAAGAGCTGTCTGGGCTCTGCTTGGGAACCCCAAGACTCCACCTTAGCAGGCAGCATGGCCCCGTGGTGGGGAGCGAGGTGTCAGGACTCCTGGATTCTGTACCCGACTCTGCCACTGGTCTGCTGGGTGACTTTGGGCAAGTCTCTGTGCCTCGATTTCCCCAGCTGTAGAAGGGGGGATAACGATGCTTGGTAAACAGACACATGTAGGAAGCCATGTGGGCACCTGTCCACAGCCATGGGCACAGTGTTTGTATGACTGTAGTGCCAGGAGCTCCGGGCACGGAGCAGGACCCCGTTGTGCTACGTGCTCTACAAACACAGAACGAAAACAGTCCCTGCCCCTGAGGTTCTAATCTGAGTAATTCAATAGGGAGAAGGATCCTCAGCACCCCTCTTTGAAAGGGGCCAGGTACAATATTTACTGTGACTGGGATACACCCTGGAGCCCCTCCGTCTGGTGAGAGCCTCATTGACTCCAGCAGAGTTCTGCCTGAATAAAGAGCTAGGAACTGAGCCCGCCACCCACTGGAGCCAGAGGGACTACTTTCCTGAGTAAAGGTTGCTCACGGGAGCAAGGATCAGGCCCTGAGAAAGGCCTCAGAGTGTTGCCTGCTATCCCCCCATCTCTGGGTGATGGGGGGAGCTCCCAGCGGCTGCCAGTCCCTTCAGGCTGCAGGCTGAGAACAATGGGCAGGATAGAGTGGGCTCTGAGAGAGTCGATGCAAACAGCAGGCAAGGGGCTGGTCCCAGAGATACCCAGCCTGGACTGGGGAGATGCAGAGTGACCTCATCGTAACGTGTGGGACATTTAGGGTGACATCACCATTACGGGATATGCAGGGAGACAGCATCAGTGTAGCAGGGGGTTAGGGTGACGTCCCATTGCTAAAAGGTGGATGACAAAGCTCAGCTCATTGTTTCTGGCAGGGCTGGATGAATTCGTTACACCTAATTCTGAACCCACCGGAAGGCGCTGGGCATGGATGTTTGACTCAGGCCATATGGGTTCAGAATAGATTCTGCTAAGGAGACACAGTAGGAAAAGGGAACAGACAGGAAATGGGGAAAAGTCCTGATGCAATGGAACAGTTTATAGACTGTGCTTACAGCCCCCAAGTCTGCCAGTGCCAGCAGCTCCGGAGGAGAGAGGGGGTTCTGTCCGTAACTCAGGGCACAGGCTGCGTTATTCAAGGAGAACATTTTGGGCAGTGCGGTGAGAGTCACAAGACCTGGGCCTTAGTCCTGGCTCTGCCATTGACTCACTGGGAGGCCCAGGGCAAGTCACTTGCTCGCTTTGTGCCTCAGTTTCTCCAACTGCAAAAGGGGGAATAAGGATACTTGGTAAATAGACACACACAGAAGCCATGCGGACACATGTCCACAGCCCTGGGCAAACTCTGTGCCCGAAAGGCCAAATTCTAGAACTTCCTAGAGGCCAGGGTAGGAGGGTCTGTCTGGGGGAGATGAAGGACTCCCCAGTTTGCCTGCACAGGCTGGAATGTGGATCATTTACAGCTGAGGATCCAGGCACCCCGAGCTTCTGCCCAGATGGGTGTGTTACTGGCTGTAAGAGCTGCATAGAACCCCAGCCAGCTAAGACTGGTCAGGCTGCTTCCGGTCTGGCCGGGGGACGCTCCCTTCGTCTCACCAGGTAGAGGTGATACCGATGAGCCCCACCAAGGTAGCAGTTCAAGTCTCCCTTCAGATGGAAGGTTGCACCCACACCAAAATCCAGCCTTTGTTGGGGGACCCCGCCCTGACCTCTGCCCTACCAAGCCCTGGTCCTTCCCCAGCGGCAGTCAATATCCTATAAAACTTGGGACCCACTCGTAACGTCACCCCCAAAAGCACATCCAGTCATCTCTGGCACCCGTGCAGCTGCCCTACGGCATTCCACCCAGCCCTGCTCTTTCTGCAGCTGCTGCGATGTTCCACTCTCTCCTACCGCTACCAAACCCTGGGCTCTAAAAGTGTCTTTCTTCACCCCTCCAGGATCAGCTTCTCTTCTGCCTCCTGGGGCCATTTGATTGGCATCCCATTAATGAACGGAGCTAATTAAAGGAGACTACCACCTACTGGCTGCCATCAGCCTCCCCCGGCTCTCTGGGGGCCCCCCCAAGTTACACACATGAAACGGGGATGCCACCGACGCACGGTTTGGTAGGAACCATCCTCAAAGGGCCTGAGGAGTGGGACGTCGGGGAGAGCAGGAAACTAACCCCCCCACACACCTATTCCCCTCTCAGCCTGCTCATGCTCTGATCTGACACATCAATCAGGGTCTTTCAAGTGCCATTCAACCCACCCACCAGGTTGACAGCTTGCAGCAGCTTCCTACAGAACTGGTCTCTTTGAGGGGATTTGAAGCCCTGAGTGCTCTGTTGTCCCTGAGGTTCTGGCCATCTTGGGTCATTACACAGGAGATGTCCAGTGTGGGCAATTCCATTCTGCCTCCCTAAATCCTGCCCAGCGATTTCACTGAATTCTCTTTCACTCCTCTCCTCAATTGTTGTGTGGTGTTACTGGGTGCTTTTTAACAGCTGCTGCATCCCATCTCAGAGGTGGTTGCATTTCAGTGGTGGGTAAAGAGCCAAGACCTTGGAGGCAAACTCCTCCAAACAGCCATATTCCATGGCTTGAGCACATCCTTCTGCCATGGTCAGGGAAGGTAGGTACTGGAAAGAGGTTACTGCAGTTTATACAGCCACAGGAAGTGACAAGACTTCCTCCCCTTCAAACTCCTGTCTAGTGGTTTGCACTACACTCTCTATCAAACCACAACCCCACATGGATGACCAAAATAGGAGCAGCGGGGAAGGGCCTGTCACTCCACTCCCCACAGATGTGCTGGGTTGGAGCACAGAAACACGGTTCTTCATTGTTTGTATTGTCCCAGCCCCGGCCCGGGACCCCATTGTGCTAGGCACTGTACAAACACAGAACAAAAAGAGGGTCCCTGCCCAAGGTGGGGGAATCTCCACAGTCCCAGAGGTTTAGCAGAGACTTCCACAAGAGCCATGTGACTGGAACCCCACATGACCCTTTGGAAATATGCCCCCAGGGGTTAATTTAAATATATATTTTGATATCACAGCTGGAGAGTCAAATTCAGCAACATTCATCCGCCGTGCATGGATCCTACAGCACATGGGCGGGAAGTGCAACGCCTGGCGGTGGCAACATGATCTTACTGCCCTCAGCGCTTGTAATTTACCTGTATCTCCCCCTTCTCCTGGCCACAAGCACATCCCAGAAGTGAAACACGCTAGCACCACCTCAGCAGCCTAGGAAGAGACTCCACACCCTCTCCCGCAGGCAGTGCCAAGGGCAGAGATGTCTGGAACATTGATTTCTGACACCAAGAACCACCCAGGCGGAAAAGTATCACCGGTGGGAGCAGGGAACTGATGCTTTCAACAGCCCCCTCCCCAGGACATGGCAAACACCACAGGATTACAAACTCAGCCATCTCTGACGGGCCCTTGCTCCCCTCCTCACTGCCTTCGGCTGGGGGGCGAACGTGTCAGCACTGAAGGGTGGCTCCATTTCGACTTCTGGTCATCTTGGGTGACGGGTGCTAGGATCGGCAACCAGCTCCCATCTCGTCTTTCTTCCTATTCCAATCCCTCCTCTCTGCCCTGCTAGCCCCATCTCATCAGCCCCCCAAAGGCTGCAGAACCTGACCCCACACACCTCCCCTGGCTGCCCATCCCCTGTAGGAGCCAACTCAAAATCACCATTGGATGGACTCTTATTTTAAACACCCTTCCAGGGGCTCACTCCCACTGCACTCCCAGGATTTGTCTTCTCCTTCTTTTTCCTCCCCTCCCACCTCCCTCCTGTCATCCAGTTCTGTCTCTGGTGGGTACTGGCACCTCTTGGATTTCCTTAACCAAGCACTGCACTTGCATTAAACAGAGAAAAGAGTTTCCAGGGAATAAGAGACCTAAACCACCATCTAACCATCTTAGAGCCAGAGCCCTTGGCTTCTGCAGCACAGGGCTGTTCCCAGTCTCAGCCACCGATGCAGCATAGAACATTCCTTGCAACAAAGCATTGGGTATTTTTTTCTCTCCCTCACATGATCTACCCAATAGGAATATAAGAAACTGACAGGGGCCCCTATGCGAGTGCATACATCCCACAACAGTTAACCCTTTAGTTACCAGATTAAAATAAAACATTGTTTTATTTATTGTTTTATTTATTTTTTTATTTTAACAGCTGCTGCATCCCACCTCAGAGGTGGCTGCATTTCAGTGGTGGGTAAATAACCCCTGCAAAGTGCTTTGGGACCGAGGATGAAAGTCACCATATCAGAAAGAGGCTGGAGCCAAGACCTTGGAGGCAAACTCCTCCAAACAGCATATCCTAACAGTCCCTTTGCCATTGCAGGCGCAAGAGCCTTCTCCTCTACAGCTCCTGCCACCTGTGTCCCCTCAAGACGCTGACTCGTGATTTCTTTTCAAATCTCTCCCCTCCTGGCTAGTTCTCTCCATTCCCTGGCCACAGGAACACAACTGCCATGAAAGATGCTACACCCACAGGACCATTGCACCCTCACCAGGGGCTGCCACATCCTACCTCTCTTTCTCCACCAGGAGCCCTCACGGACGGAGTAGGACAGGTCAACGAACTCAATGTCCACGGCCGAACGCTTGGGCAGGTGCGAGAACCTCTGCGCCTCTGTGATGTGATTCTCCACCTTCTTCAGGTGGGTGGTCAGGAGAGGCGCGTCCTGGGAGCCCGCATTGCACACAGAGTCCTCCAAGGCGATGGAGACGGAGGTCGGGTCGATCCCCTTCTCAGCCATGGCGCCGCTCTGGAGGGGGACACCACACATGTGCACCATGGAGACAGACAGTGACCAGTTCATCGGAGCTTGTTCTACGCGGAGCAGCCAGAAACTCCTGCCCCCGCCCCGAGGCACCCCTGCTGGGAGAAAGCTGGGACTGCCCTGGGGTTATTGCTACGGCACCACCTGCCGGGATGCAGGGGCTGGAGTAGCTGGGAGCTCCCCGGCAGCCAGCTCCCACCCTACTCCTGCTAGAACAGGGCAGCTTGGCTTGGTTTTGACCAGCTGCCACGTGGCCTCTGCCTCCCCAATAAATGTTGCAGCAACTATTAGCATCCCTGGACCAGCGGGGGATTCCCAAGGGAGCTGGCTGCTCGGTGCTGCTGAGTATTAACCCCTTGGGTGCAGGTGTGCACTGGGAGAGTGAGATTGCCCCATGTGCTTGACATGGATAATAGCCCCTTCATGCCTAACCTGGAGGTGCCAACCCCTTCCAAGGCAGAGAAGAATTCAGTGGCTGATCCCGCTATCCAGGATGCTGCCCCCTCAAGGGGCCTTAGCTAGTCTGGAGGGGAACATCTCCCTTCCACTCCCCTGCCCCCACACCCCAGGGCTGATGTACCTCAGCCAGGTTCTGGAGAGCTGGGGGCAGGCAGCCACTCATCAGCTGAGATGTCAATAATTCATGGAGCTCTGGCCATGGCTGGCTCTGCCAGCCAGGCCTAGTTCTCAGGCTGAGGCAGCTTGTTGCCCTGTGGGCACCCCCATCCCTCCTGCTCCCTCTTTCTTCCTCTTCCACACTGAGTGGGGAGCAGGGAGCAAGATCTGTCCCCCATCCCGCTGCATCCTCACTGGGCAGAGGCAGGGAGAGACCAGAGAGAAAGATGGAGGGATTCATGGGTACCCCCTGTAAATCCAGCTAGGCTACTTACTCAGCGAGCCCCCCAGGCTTCCAATCTGCTCCTGCCATTGGCAAGGAGCTGCTGATGCCCAAGGGGAAAATCCCCTCCTGTCTGGTAAGGGGGCAGGAGGTTGGGATGACAGACAAAGCCATGGCATTGCAATGCATTGCAATTCTTGGGGCAAAAGGCTCCCCCCCCCCCTCCCCCAGCCAATCCGTCCTGTGTTAAACCCGCCTGACCGCATCTGATCATCTGCCTCACTCCAGTAGGTCCCACAGGATCCTGGGTTGCTCTCAGCAGCCGGAGCAGCTCAGGCTGTGGTGACAGGCAGGGCGCTAGGCCAGTGCTGGGGTAGCAGACCTGCAAGGAAGAGCTGGCACAGGAGATGCTCTTCCCTACGAGCCTATCGGCCCCTGCATGGTGCCGGACTGCGGAGGGTGCCCAGGGGAACCTGGCTTTGTTCACGCTCCCCTGGCCCTTTTCAGATGAGCAGCAGGTGCCCTCGCCAAAGTCTAACTGGTGTCACCCCAGCAGTAACGGGGACATGAGCCTCCTTTGCTGCCCACCCGACACTGCAGTGCTGTGTTGCCGTGCGCCGGGCAGTAGGCGGTGGGCTCCACCCCAGAGAGGGCTGCACGGCACCAGGGTTCACGGTGGAGCTCATCCGGGAAGTGGGGGACGCTGTTAGCACTGCCCAGGCCCCCTACACTGCACCTGGCCTCAGGAGAGCCCCAAATGGGGCAGGCCTGCGGGGGCCCTGCTGCTGGGGGAAGGGGAGATGAGCCTGCAGGCGAGCAGCCCAGGCCCCTTGCCCCCCCACGGCTGGGGTATTAATGCCTCCCTGGAGCTGCGGGCCCGGCTGGGGAATTCTGGGCAGAGCATCCTTGGCTGGGCCGCTCCCTGATGCAGGCAGAGCCCTTGCAGGGCTGGCAAAGCGCCAACCCCCAGCCCCCGCGAAGGGCTCTTGGCTCGCTGGCCCCAGGGCCCCGACATCCCAGGCGCTCGCCCCTCGCTGCGCCAGGCGCCCCGGCGGCCGCAGCCCCCCCCCCCCCCGGAGCTAGAGGGTCCAAGGCAAAGTTTGAGCCAGGCGGAGCCCTCGGGGGTCACCTTGACGCCTCCCGCGGCTCCTCGCAAGCACCGAGACATCCCCCCCCCGCATTGCTCCGACTTCAGCCCCCCCAAGGGGGCAGATGTGCCAGGAAGAGTCCTCAGCGCCCCCCCATCTCTTTCATACTCTGCCCCCCCCTCCAAACTGCAGCAAAATTGATCGGCCCCCTGCTCCCCGCACGCACCCCCTCGTGTCTCTGGGCAGCTCACCCGCCTGCGGGTGGCAGGGGAAGGGGGCTTTGCAAGCTGGCCGCCGTGGTATAAAAGGGGGCAGACCTTTGCAACGCTCACCTTAGCGCGTTACGGGGCTCGGCCCGGCTCCCCGTCCTTGGAGGGGCGACGGATCTACCGCGCCGCGCCGCCGCCCGCTGCCTGGAGTCCCCGAGCCGCCGGCATGTGGCGGCGCGTCTCCGTGTAAACGCCCTCACCTTCGCCTTCGCAGACAAAGAGGCGAGGTCTCCTGCCTGCGGTGGCCGAGGCTCAGGGAGGAAGCGCTCGACGCCGGGCTGAGCGTGCACCCAGAGAGAGAGCGAGACCGGCGCAATGAAGGGGCTGCCAGGTTACTGCAGGCACCGGGCTCCCATCACACTTGCAGCTTCCCGGGGATGTGCACGTTACCCGCTGCAATCAGTCCCCAGCTGGCGCTGGCTTCTCCATTGCCTCGCAGGTGGGGCTGGCTCGGCTGCCGCCTCCCCCCGCTGGAAAATGCCTTCTCAGCCAAGCCGCCAGCTAGGGACCCCTCTCCTGGAGCTGCCTCCATCCATCCCCTGGGTCCTTTCCAGTAGGGTCCCAGCTTCTGCTGAATGAGGCTGGGCTTTCCAGGCAGGTCTTACTTCCCCAGCCCACGCAGCAGCCTCTCTTAAAGAGGCAGTAACCCAAGCGCTGTCTTGTCCAGGACCCTAAAGGTAAGGGCTGGCCAGAGCGCCTACTCCTGCAGGCCTGGGCGTGCTGTTCGTCCCTTCTGGCCCACCCCAAACAATCCCCCCTCCGGCTCCGAATGGCATGGCTGGCCCTGCTGCAGTGGCCATGGTCTGTGTTACTGACAGAACGCAGCAGCATTGCACCGTGGCAGCTAGACAGCAGCGTTTGTACCCAGCCCAGCCAAGAAAGAGGGTCCAGTTCTCTGGAGGCTGGAGGACATGGAGCGCTGCACCCACAGCTCTTGCATCAACTGAAATTTTCTAAAGGCCGTTCCCTGTAGAGATGCGCCCCGGGGATACCCACATTGCCCACTGGCTGCAGACAGAGGGCAGCTACCAGCTTGGCTGTGATAGGCAGCTAAGATCAGGTAGCCTGACCGTCACCCAAAGCCCCCCAGAGTTACTGGGTGTAATTAATGAGGGAAGTGCAACAAAAGGGGAAACATTCAAACAGATTCGGAGGTTGATTCATCACAAACTCCCTGCCCTATATGGATGTGCGCACAGTCACACACCCCTTCGGCAAATGGATCTGTTTCCAGTCAGGAGAGCCCAAAGGGTGGAACAGCAGGGAGCGCTGTCAGGGGATTGTGTGGGAACCCTAAAATAAACTAGGGTGAGCCCTTGGGAAATGAAGTATGTCAGCAGAGCTGTGCAGGGAGAGTAGCAGGGATACTGCAGATTGGTGCACCAGCAAGGTGGTGGTGGTGGGGGGGTGTCCTAGGACTGGAATACCTGGGGTCTGCAGGCCAGGAATACGTATCAGCAGGGCTGTGGGGAAGTGATGGGGGGTAGAGGTGCTGGGGGATGGGGGCTGCAGGTCAGGACTGAGGTGCATCAGCCAGGTTGTGGTGGGGTGTCTGGGAGGAGGAATCTCACTCTCTGTTCAGGCCTCCATCAACATGATGTCAGAGCCCTGGCATTCCTCACCAGAGCTCACGCAGCCCCGGCACCTCTCTGCATGGCTCGTGCCATCGTTACTAGTCACACATATCACCCACAACATTTCTTAAAGCATGGAAGACATATGGAAATGAGCGACATTAATGAGGGTATTAATTAGAAAACCATCTGCTGAGCTGTGGAGAGCTTTCCTGCTGCCACCGCCAGTCACCGGGAGGGTGGGAGACAGCTGGAGACAGTGACTATGCGCTGATGGTTGGACCAAACTCAGACTGGGAATCAGTTAAACTGGGAGTCAGACGCAAGCCATGTGTAATGGCAGGGGGGCCACCTGCTGCCAGGGGCAGTAGTGCGGGGTGGTTAAAGGAGTACAGAGGTCTCCAGGTCGGACATTAGGAAGGCCGGGGAGCTGCGAATACCCCAGGCAGGGGACAGTGAGGGGACTTGTTTATACACAGAACAAGGCTCAGCGTGGTGAATTCTTGGTTCATTTAAGTTATCTTGTGAGTTTACACAAGCACCATAAGGGAGTTAAGTGGCTCAAATCCCACTGAAAATCAGTGGGAGCTGGGGGGGTGGAGGGAGAGAAGTTTCCAAAAGCTCCTAAATAACTTGAATGCTGCTGACTTTTACTCTGACTTGGGCTCCCAAGTCACTTAGGCCCAGATTCACAAAGGTATTTAGGCTCTTAACTTCCACTGAAATAAATGGATGTTAGGAGCCTAAATCCCTTTGAGCTGGGCTGTAGACAAATCCTACCATAGGGTGCCTAACTCCCTTAGGTACCTTGCACTATACCCAGCCTAAGACATTCCTGGGTTTATGTGTTACTGCCATTTAATGTTCCATGTAAGCTCATAAGCCGATTCTGTGCTCTGGCTTGTTTGGGTAATTTTTCTTTCATAGCAGGAGTACAACAATTCTGGGTTTGCCTTTTTCAGAAACCGCTGCCCATCTCGTCCATCACTTGGCTTCACTCCTGCCAGGTCAGTAGCGCTGGAAAGGGGATCCCCTCTCTTGGGCATTCCCATGTGTGAGATGAGCTTGGTGGGTCTCAGTCCAGTCCCTAGGACATAAGTGTCTACAGTTCAGAAACCACAACAATTGGTATGAATTAGCCCCCTTTCTGGCAGCTTCAGGAGGAATGGACTATGGAAACTGAACTTCCCTAGGGCTAACAACACTTCTTTTCAAACTTAGGTTTTCTGGGGGGCAGGGACTCTCTCTCATTCTGTCTATACAGCCCCTAGCGCAATGGGGTTCTGAGCCTGGCTGGAGCCTTCGGTTGCTACCACAATACAAATAATACCCTTAAGGCAGGACTGAAACGCACAGATGAGTCAGTGGCAGAGCAGCTTGCCTAACTGCCCATGTGGCGTGGACAAGCAGAGGATTCAGTCCTTTTGGCTGTGGCCATTTCACAAGAGGATCCCCACTGCTCTTCTCCTGGGTGGAATGCCCCCAGCACTGAATTCCCACAAATTCTGACACCACCCCACAAAACTCAGCCCACCTTAGATCCATTACTTGCTGCGGCTTATGTGAACGGAGCGAGTCAGGAATCATAATGCTAGCTCTGTTATTAATTTTCATCGCAGTAGGGCCTAGAGGCCCCAGCTGAGATCAGGGGCCTCCTTGTGTTAGGCACTGTACAGACAGGGGGTCTAGACAGCCCCTGCCCTGAAATGCTGACAGTCTGTTCTCTTTGTTGGGGAAGTAGGGCCATGACTCCTAGTTAGGGTCCTGCCTGCTGGCTTGGCTTTAAGAAACAAGCTCTCTAAGTTGGGCTTTGAGCCTAGCTTTGCACTGGCCACTGTGTCTTTGGTACAGCCATATGGGAGGTAGGGGGACATGGCTGTTCATAGAAGTGTGAGGCTATCTCGGTGGCTGTACCCAGAAGGGTATGACAACAGGCACTCTCTCCCCCATCATGGCTGAGGGATAACCTGTCCTGGTGGGTGTTGGGCTGGAGTTATGGGTGACCCATGGACCTATCATAGGAATAGACTGTATCCTGGGTCAGGGACTACATTCACTGGTCTGTTAGCTGTGTACCTAATCTGGCACTTGTCTCCAGCCATGGTTAAGAGCTGGTGCAATAGAGAATGGCACAAAACTGCACGCTGCACCCTACCAATGGTTTGGTGCCGTAGGTGTGAATCTGTGCATTCCTTCTGACCCTTGTGTACGTAAGTTTGGCCCTGAAGCAAAAGATCTGTCCACCCTGTTTAGCTTGGCTTATAGCACTTACAATGTTTTATTGAAATGATGATTAAAATTTGCCAAGCCCTGATTAAATCCTACTTGCAGCATTTCACTCAGGATGGGATTTTTGGAAGCATCTAAATGACTCAGGAGCACAAGTCAGGACTAGTGCTCCTAGGTCATTTAGGTGCTTTTGAAAACCTCATCCTCTGTGACCTCCTGCAGCAGGAGGTTCCACAGGTTGAGTATAATCATACAGAAAGATAAGAATACCTAGTGGGAATGGAAGAATGGAATGGTATTTCCTTTCCCTGGCTCTCAGTTTAGTGCTATTCAATTGCAGCACGTGATTCCTTGTACCTATATAATAAAATAATAGTGTTTAAGAATTGTTATTAATTGTACTGCAGTAGCACCTCAGAGTCCGGTCCTGGAGCAGGGACACACTGCACAGATGCAGAACACAGGAGACCTTCCATAGTCTGTACTATCCCCACCAGGGCTCTGAAAACTGGGTCAGAATGCAGAAGCTCCCCTAAGAGGTTTTTAAATCAGTGGTAGTGCTGGAAAATCACCGTGATCTTGCTGTAAACATATTTTAATTATCCTTACAGCACATGTGCCTCCAATTCCCTCTGCCTCTCTCGCTCTCAAAACACACACACACACACACAGAATTTGCTGGAGAGAATAATCCATTGCCTCTTCCTTTGTGCATTTCCAGGGCTGGAATGGAGATGGGGTTACACTGAGCTCCAGGAAGATTCCCTGGGGGAGCAAGAGGCTGCTTCCTGCTGGAGCCAGCATAATGCGAATGGAGAGGAACCTGTGTGGCTAAAAGCCTTTGCCGCCCACTGGAGCTGTTGAATATTTATTCCTGCTGGAAATGAAAGGAGAGAAGAAATCTAGGCAGCTCGGAGCGAATCTCTGCCCGGATGAGAAGTGCCTGCGACAGGGGGTTATGTTTATGCTGCCTGCAGTCCATAAGATAGCTCATCTGGTCAGCTGATGAATGTTATACAAAGGGCTTAGGCAAGAGCGGCCTGTCCATCAACCCAACCCACTGCTTCGCTGGCCGTAGCTCACCTTGCGCCTGCCAGCTACACCCAGCTTATCGCTGGTCTGTTGGGATGGGGGATTGGCATAAGGTCTATGCCCTGGATGGATGTTGGGGCACAAACAGCACAACCCCAGCCCTGCCTCCAGCCCCACACTGACTACACGGCTCCTGAGCTGACCTAGTCTCTCCCTCCAGCAATGGGACTAGAGGGGAAGAAGCTCTCTGCTCTGGCTTGGGCCCATAGGCTGCAGGGCTGGCCCTGTATCAGGTTCAGTGGATCCTCAAAGCACGGATTGCGTTGGCAGATGGGCATCTCTCCATACCCTGAGCTGAGGGAGAAGGTGCTGGTGCGATTTGGGGGGAGGGATTGGTTCATTTCTCTCCTACTGAGCCCTAGACAGAGATCTGGGGACCCCAGGGGGTTCCCTTTCTCTCACCCCTTCCTTCCTGGCAGGATGCCCCTTGCCACAGTCTGACTCTTCCCCCACCCTGGGAGTGCACAGGTTTCATGCTAGCTTACAGATGGATGAGGACCATCAACTCCCACCCCCCGGGGAGCCAGGCCATGACTCTTCACAGGACAGCACACACATCTGGGCTTTGACCAGCCCAGCTTAAACAATTCCCACAGGCGGACAGGGTCATTGTCAAGCCCTCTCTCCCACCCTCCCTCCCTGCCGCTCTAACTCCTACTAGCCACTGAGCCCAAGACCCCGCACTGCCTCATCTCTGGCCTTGGCTCCTTGGGATGCTGTCCAGACACAACGCTGTGTTCTCTGGACCACCTGAGCCCTGGGGGCTGTATTCTCAGAAGGCCTGGGGTTTGCTCAGCCCCAGCACTGCATACTCCCTGCCCCCATGCTGCAGTCACAGACCCCTGCAGTTATGTTTTACCCCCACCTCGGCCTCTCCAATGAAGTCATTTCTGCGGTGACTTGCTGTAAAAATAGAGCCCAAGGACTGAACCCTCCTTTGCCATCCCAGCTGGATCAGTTCCCCCAGCTCAGTTAGCTTCTTTTTCCTCCTGGTGACTAGCTCCCCGTCCCCACCATACCCCAGCACAGGTCACTTACCCGAGCTGCTTCTCTGTTCAGAGCTCCAGCCACAGAGCAGATCTGTCCCCGCGTCGGCTGCCCTGGGAGCACATACTAAAGTGCCTTGGAAGTAACTAGGTTAAGCAGCTGGAGGACAAGCTCTGTGTGTGCGCCTGTAGCTTTAAATTCTCTACCTGTCACTTGGGCCTGCTCACAGCCTCCTTCTCTGGCAGGGAGGAGGGGATGCTGCTGCTGCAGTGAGGTTACTTACAGTCAAACTCCAGCCACTGCTGCTCAGCTCCATTGCCTTGGAAAAACCTACCATCCTGCCCAGCCCCCTCCCCTTCCTGCAGAGGATGGGGCTGGGGCAGGGGGGCAGCATGGGGAGGAGATACTGGAAATGACTCTCCACGTCGCAGCTATTTTCAGAATCACCCTGGTTCCCTCCCGCCCTCGCCCCCCAATGTTTGCACATGACAAACCAGAATAAGAACAGAGTTGCTGGTTCTTAAGGCCCCCATGGTGGTGGTGGTGGCTTCTAGGTAGCTGGGGTTGGCCAACCTGCTCCCCTGGGGCGCTGCCGTTGGACTCCTCAGCCGTTCCAACAGAGATAATAAGGGGCTGGTCTGACCAGCATTGCCCAGGCCTGAACTTCCCTCAGTGCCCCCTGCATGGAGTTCAATAGCTTGCGGCTGAGCTGCTGATTGTTGCTCACAAGATGCCCAGCCTGGGTTCTAGCTCTCTATTGGTCCGTACCTGCCTCAGGCCACGCGTATCTGAGCACCTCACGCTCTGCACCGTATTGATCCCCTCAGCCTGCCTGCCATGAGAGAGGGCAGCACTCTTTGAGATCAATAAACATAAAGGACTCTACAAGAGCTAGTTGTTGCTATCCCCATTTTACAGATGGGAAACTGAGGCACAAAGGGATTAAGAGTCTTGCCCAAGATCACATAGACTGGAGTAGAGCAGGGAATTGAACCCATGTCTCCTAATTCCCAGGCTAGGGTGTTCGCCACTGTCCAGTCTTCCTCCCAGTTAAATAGGGCTACTCAATGTTAACATATTCTAGTAGGGAGCCCCCACCTCACACTCCACAGGACAAGCCACGCTCTAACTATTAGGGATTGGGATGAGACCTTGCAGGCTAACACGCATCTATCTACATGGGGCTTTCTTGCACCTGCCTCTAAAGTGCCAGCGGCTGGCTTTGTTTGGAGCTGGGATAGGGGGCTAAATGAACCACAGGTCTCCTGCTTTCTGTCTGGAGAAGATGGTCGACAGGGCTGAAAACCCCTGGAACCCACAGGGTCAAATCCAGCAGCATCCATCCTTCACCCTTCCCCACTGGATACACTGAGGTCTGTGCAGTTACTGCAGACTACGAACTCTCCCCTTTGCAAGGGCGTTAAAGATCCCTGCCCTAGTGGCCTAGCTTCCCCTTTCCCCACACTCTTGGGGAGGGCATTGGCTCCCCCAGAGCTGGCTGCATTTCACAGGGGCTGGGTTTGTAATCAAAGGTGCTGCAAGGAGAATATTTTTGCCCATCTAAGTCCTCTTTTCCCCTGAGGATCTCACACTGCTTTATGCAGATGAGCGAGAAGATCATCTCCGCTGTACAGCTGGGGGATCTCCAGCGCAGACAGGGAGTGACCGGTCCAAGGTCACAGAAGGAACCAGTAGGTTTCTTTTACGCAGGCAGCAGCCCAGGTATAATTGGGGTGCAGCGGGCATGGGGATGAGCAAAATGTGCAGCTTTGTTTAGATGAAGAGTTGGTGCACAGGAGGCCTGGGTGCAAGGGGGTACGCAGGCAAAGTGGGTGGTAGCCTGCCGAGGTGGGGTATATAACAGGCACTTGTGGCTGTGGAGAGTCAGGGGAGGGTCTGTCGCCTTCATCCCCTTAAAGAGAGGCCCATTTCCCTCTTTGCAATGCTGCTGCAGAGAGGGATGTAAAAGGAAACCTGCCTTTATAGCTAAATCCCATGCTGCCCATTGCAATGAACGGGAGCTCAGCCATCAACTTCCATGGGAGAAAGCACTGACCTTTGGAGAGGGGAAACTGGTTTCAGCATAACCCCCTGCTGCTGCCGCCTCGCTGGGATGCAAACCATCCACGCGCTCCCTGGGAGCGGCCCCAGCCAGCTGGAGAATAAGGATGGAACAGTAGCTGGGACAGGCCCTCAAGGTGCTGACCCCAAAGAGGAGCCTGTGGACTCACTGGAGATGGAAAGTGGTAGAGTAGCAGGCTCAGGAAGCTCTGGGTAAAGAACAGCCTCCAGCCTCACCTGTGGAGGAACAGAGGAGGGGAATTGAAATTCCCCTTTAACAAGGGGAGAGCACTGGGGGCTACAGGCACAGCCTTGCACAGTATGTGGGACATGTTCTGTGTGCAAGCCCAATAACCAGCTGGGTTTCTCTCCCGTTGGCACCCTCAGTGACTCTTTGGCCATAGCAACTGCCTTAGCTGCCTTTACTGGCTGAGCTCACCCATAAGCCTGCCCAAAGCTGAAATCAGCTGAGCTAGCAGCGTGGGCACAGAACATTAACCGTCTCCGTCAATCAGCCTCATGCCTCTACGAGCTGTAGTAATGAGGGGCTTGGGCTCCAGAACCTACAGGAGAGGGGAGAACACGTGAGCGGAGGCGAGGGGGTAGGAATACCCTGGAGAGGCAGCTGGTGAGTATCAATGCCTAAGAAGGAATAGCACTGTCTGTGTATGTCACCTCCGGAGTGCAAGGAGCTACTGCTCCCTGGAAGCCTGTGAACCTGCACCCAATTCACTAGCCCTGAACTCACTGGCTTTGGTCCTGTTAGATTTACAAATTAAATTCACAGTGACCGCAATGCTCTGGAAATACCTGGACTAACAGCAGGCAGGGGAGAGGATGCTGGTTATCCTCATTTGGTGCTGCACACTGCTGGCCAAACCGAGAACTGCCAGCTCGGTCTGAATGCAAACGGCTCCCGGGCCAGCACAGCTCACACTTAGAACTGGTCATACTTTTTCAGTGGAAACTTTTTCATAAAAATGAATACAGTGTTAGAAAAGCGTCATTTCCAGGGGAAACATTGCTTTCCAATGATCTTTTTCAGTTGTTCACTTAACAAAAACCCCCCATTCACTTTTTGGCACCCAAAAAGTTTTGGCCACAACCTAAAAAAAATTTGTCCCCATTTTTTTGGGACTGGCACTTGTCAAAACCCAAACATTTGGGGAGTGCTGGTTTTTCAGTTAAAAATGGCCCTTTTTTCTTAGATAGTTTTCAACAAAAACTATCATTTTTTTCATGGGACTGTTTCACAGGAACAAAACCCCACTTCCCAACCAGCTCCACCCCCAGCCCTGGAGGAGAGATGGGGCTTCTGAACATAGGGACTTAACTGGGTGGAGTGTGGATGGGAGCTAGAGGGTGAGGAGACGCATCCAACAATAACACTGAAACACCAGTCACCTCTAGACAGATTTATTGGAGTGATGGTCACAGGCTTGGAGCCAGGGGACAGAGACAACGCCCCTAGGGCAGGAGCAGCATTCACCATACCCAGCGTTTAATCCTCACCTTCCCCATGCCTACCCCCTATGTGGCCAGGAGGGAGAACACCACTGGCTGAGGCCTGTGTGTCCCACAGACCCTCCCCAACTGCTAGGTGAGGGAGAAAATGTGACAGAGGCTGCTGGGTGCCAGGGAGTAGCATGGCATCACAGAAAAGCAGGCAAGGAAGGGGATTCCCTTCAACTGCCTTCCATCCCCCTACGTCAGAAGAGGAAACTGGTGCCTAATCCCACAGTAGGGCAGGAGCAACCCTCTCCCCCACGTAGAACAGCTGCTCCCTCTCCTCTCTTGCTATGGGTGGTGCATTTCCCCTGCCAAAGGTAGCACTTGCAGAACAATTCACCTTTTCCACAGTTTGCCCCTGACTAAAGCTCCTTTAGGCTGAAGGCCTCTGCTCCCCGCTCCTCTCTGCTCATGCCCCTCTGCCTTGATAGGGATTGTCACTCGCCAGGGCAGGCATGCAGGTGGGAGGGAGGGGCAGTCCCTTTTGGCCAGCTGGTTTGGTTCACTGCACCTGCTGCCAATGGAACCTGTCCACGCAGACTCCAGCTCTGGTGAGAGGAAACGGGGGAGGCTGTAGCAATCTGCAGCACTGAGATAATGACGTTCCTCATTCAAAGGGCGTTAGGGACAGCGAATCCCCACATGCCCCCACATCCCCATTAAGCATATGGGAAAACTGAGGCAGAGATCGGTGTTGTCCTTTGCCCACGGTCTCAGAAGAGGGCAAGACTGGAGTCCTTGGCTTCCATTCCTGTTCTTAGGAACTCTGGTCCCTGGCTCCCATAGCGTAACCCCCTGCAGAGCAGGAAGATGACTGTGTATACCCATCCCCCTACGTGCTTGTTTGGAACAAATCAGGGTGCAAAGGGTTAAGTTATGGGGGAGGCAGTCCTTTCCTCTGCAGATGCTGCACCCCAATAAGACAGGCTGGCAAACGGTTCCAGCCCAGGAGACAGACACAACCACGCACTTCCACGAGCACACTGCCAGTATCGTGCCAAGGGCGCGATGGGAACAGATGGATGGAGGAGTCTGGCCCGACGGGGAGAGGCACAGTATGGTAGCCTACTGTGCAGTGAGCATCAGGTTTGCTGCTGCCCCTCCTGGGACGGAGCTCCCCTTCACAGCTGAACAGCTCCCCACGAATCCATCCACCCCAGATCTCTACCTGGAGGAAGCTGTAACGAGAACACGTTCAGACAATGGGTGTCTGTTTGATGTTAGATTATCCTGACCCTCACCCTCCCACGTGCCCCACGCCAAGTCAAGGGTGCCATGCGAGCGCATCTGGACTGGCATGCGACTAGCTTCTGCTCCTTGCCTCGCCTTGGCTCCATGGGCCAGTGAAGAGCAGCAGAGCGAAACTCACTTTCCTGCTCTGATCATGGAGCCAACTGCAAAACAAAGTCGCCAATTTCCTCGCTCTTGGCTCAGCCGGTGCCAATCGGGGAGTAACCCCAGCGCAGCCAGCAGAGTCATTCTGCATTATACAAGGCACAAAATGGGCAGACAGTAGCCCTTTCCATACTGGGATCAGATTTCTTAGATACTGCTGTCAGGGGCGCTCTGGAAAAGGCATGCCTTTCTGGGGTGGAACCTGGCAACTGATAGCCTGCACCAACAATGTTTAGGACAAGAGGTGAAGAAAGAAACTTGACTGATCCTGTGGTCACAAGCAGACCAGCCAAACCACACACGTGCGGTGTCAGGCATAAAACCCAGGACCTTTAGGACCAAAGAACACCAGGGTTGACAACTACAGCGCAAGGAGAATCTCCATCAGCAGCAGTACATTAGGGCTTTTACTCTATGGGGAGTAGCCACTAGGGGGCGACATGATCTCACACACACACACACACACAGGAGAGCAGGTCCAATACATTCCACCCAGCACAGGGCAGCGATTGTGTTGCAATAGGATGGGAGCAGCAGGGAAGTCCCATCAGGTTGCCTGGGGAGGCGGCTCCCCCTGGATGGGACGGGGTCACTTACAGCAGGGGACGTAGCAGTCGCACTCGCAGAAGTCGCAGCGCGCGAACCAGCGGGTCCAGCCCCACTGCTTGGTGACGCAGTTGGAGATCGTGATGCAGCCGTGGTTGAGGAAGGCCCCGAGGTGAGCCTTGTCCGTGCAGGTGGAGGAGCAGCTGCCGTCGATGTCCCGCTCGTTAATCTCGATCCGGCCCCGCAGGCATAGCCCTGCCGGGGAGAGACAGCAGCCCTGTTACCCCGGGGCTGGGGGAGGCACCGAGAACAGAGCGCGGGAGTTATTAGCATGAGGCTGGGCCATGGTTATCAGAGCAGTGGGGCTGGTCTCTCAGGGCTGATGAGGCATCAGGCTGCCGATGGCACCAACACCCCGGGTTCCAATAACCAGCCCTGCAGCCTTTTAGTGCGCAGGTCCCCAAGCCCGGCAGACCCAGCACATTCTTCAGAGCTTGGAACACCCCTAAGGGAGCGAGGTGAAGCTGATGCTGCAGCCCCAGGCTGGGATAGGAGAGCGACACCCCACTCTCCCCCTGCTCCTGACTGCAGAGAGGTGGGGGACAGAGGTGTTTCCTCCATTAGCCCCCTCGCCGCCACACATCAGGGATGTCTTTGAATGGAGCTCACCCAGTGCAGCCAGACCTGCAGACTATGCTGACTCCCAGGTGGAAAATTGGCAAATAAGGGACACTCCAGCCACCACTGTGATGCAGCCACCTCTAGGGTGGAACATTAGCTCCTCCCAATCCTACCCATTTTACTGCCCATCGGTGCTGCACGGCGCAGTACTCACGGAGGCAGGTGGGTTTAGGTGTCCAGTGGCCATCGGACTGACAAGCACTGGCCGGGTCCCCCACCAGCAGGAAGCCGGGCCGGCAGCCGTAGCGCACCACAGAGCCCACCCACCAGTCATTGCCGTAGACCATGGAATTGAAGTCTGCCTCTGGCCGCCCGCAGTTCACTGGGAAGAGAAAGGTCCCAGTGGATGGTGCAGGTTGGAAGTCTGAAGGTATCGCCACCCCCGCAGAGACCAAAGGGGCACCAGAGAGCAGCACGCCATGGATACATGCTTGGCATCATTGGGGTGCCAAGGGCTGCTGGCATAATTCCACAGCCCCACAAAGATGCCAAGGGTAAATACCAGATCCTTGGGGGGACATGCTGGGCATGGGGGTCTGGATCCCAAAGAGATGGCAACAACTTATGCTATGGATGACAAGGGTATATAGCTCCTGGGACCCGTGATGGCCAGGGTATCTGCCACAGCCTGGATGCATGCTAGCAGTGCTGGTAAACTGCTCTGGGTATGTGACATGGAGCCTAAATGGATGCTAGGATGCCAGGGGTTGGAGGTAAATGCTCCAGATCCCAGAGAGGATCCATTGGCCCATCTCCTGGATGTCGGGAAACCGAGGATACAGAGATGTTGCATCAACCCCCAGCCCGTACCCTTTCAACCACCAAGCTTGCTCCAGGACACAGACTTGTTGCATTAACCTCAACACCTCGTGATGCCAACAGCTGCTGTAATTCCTTGCCAAGGGGACCATCAGGAAATGCCCCATAATTCTCACTTCCCAGATGCCCCCCAAATTCTCCAAGCCAAAGACAGTTTTTGATGGAGATAAAAAGGGCCTTTGGGGTCACACATAGAGAGATGTATGTATATGTTGTGTGTATATATAAACCTTACACACACACACACAAATATATATACACATACACACAAAAAACAGACAGGTTTGAACTGAACCAAAACCATTGTTGTTATTTTTAAATATCTCATCAAATAATAAAATTCATTTCAAATCATCCAAAATGTTTTGGGTTGATTTGACGGCATTTTTTCATTTCAATTCACCGTTTAACATTTTCACCCACCCCCCTTTAAATTTTTTTTTTTTAAATTGGCTGTATTTGAGAACCAAATACCACGTTGAAACAAACGAATAAGCCCTCTAAACAAAGCATTTCAACTTAAAACAAATCGGGGTTTTTCCCTGTGGAAACTATTCATTGAGTTTGACCGAAATTTACAAATAGTTCCAGAAACCAAAACAAAATTCATGTTTTCGGTCAAATTTCTATTTGTCAAAATAAATTCACCCGGCTGCTACTGGAGACAGCCTCCCACCCCACCCCCACCCCCACTTCAGACTTGTTTCCCAGTGTCCGAGTGCATTTGGGGTGAGATCAGTGAGGTTCCTGCACAGTTCCTCCCCCACCAAACTCAGCCTCTCCTTTGCTCTTCCCACAGCACCCCTGTACCTCGACAGAAGGATTTGTATCCCAGCCAGCAGCAGCTGCCATTCCCACACTGGCTCCTCTTCAGCTCTTTGTGTCTCCCTTTGCAGCCCCCCATGCAGATGGGGGCCGTGCCAGACCAGTATGTGTCCAAGCTTCCTGGAGGGGACCAATCAAGGCAGAACAACAGGGAGAGATGGGCTGGGACCTCTCTCTTCTCCCAGGTCCCAGGGCACCCCCATGATTCTGTTTCCCACCCCCACCTCCCAGAATTCTCTTTCCCCCAGGGCTCAGCAGCAGCACTGAACCTGCCAGGGTGTGTCTACACTGCAGCTGGCATGAGCCTCCCAGCCATGTAGACAGGCTCACATTAGCCAGGCTCAAGCGAGCACACTAAGAATGCCAGTGTGACTGTTATTGCTCAAGCTCACCCAACCGGGCTAGGCTCCAGCGCCTGAGCTCCAGACAGAGCCGCGACATCCCCCAGCCCCAGGCAAGCCAGCTGGGAGATCAAGGAGGGCCCTGCTAGCCATCACTCTGCAACAGGGTCAGCCCCAGGTCTTTCTAAGGGCCCCAAGTAGCGTTCTGCATTCCCGTGGCCCTTCACAGCCTCACAGACCTTTACGGATGCTGAGGGGCCTCTTGGGGAGCACCCCAGGAGCAAGCAGGTATGGGGGTGGGGAGAGAGACACTGAGGCATAGACAAAGGGACTGATTTGCCCAAGGCCACGAAGAGTCATTGGCAGAGCTGGGGATAGAAGCCAGGAGTCCTGGCTCCCATGGCATTTATGGCATGTCTGAGTGACAGGCCTGAGATCTGGCGCTCTCTCTTTATCCTCTGGAGAGGTGCACCCTAGGCAGCAGCAGCTCAGACTGACCCTGCCAAGAGGTCTCAGTCCTGCCATGGCGTTCCCAATGGCTTTTCTCTGATGCTGCCAACAAGGGATTCTCTGCAGGTGGCACCTGCACTTCCTGTCTGCACATGGGACTGAAGTGGGGCTGGTGAAGTTGTACCCTGAGAACGCTGCAAGGGTCTGGAAGCAGTGAGGGGCGGGGGTATCGGGGCCTGGCCGAGAGTGCCAACACCAGCAGGTCCAGATCAGCAGCAGAACCTCCCACCCAGCCCGGGGCACGCCAGGGAGATGGACCTTGGCATGAGACGCCGTTTGGAGAAGCGACTCCTGCCCTCTCCACTGACGGGGAAGCAAAACAGAAAAGAGCACGGAGCTCCTCGGCCCCCGAGAGGCAGGGGTGACTCAACGCTAGACGGAACCTATGCTGGGGAGAACTGGCAGGACACGAATGGAGGATCTTTCCCAGCTCTGGGCAAAGACTGGGGTGGGCACACTTTCAGTGTGATGCCACCATCAGCTTTGTGGCATGGGAGAAGGGGTGACCTCCCACTGTGCCCTGATGCACGGGCTGTGACACAAAGAGCGGGGCCTGCTTAGAGCATTGCCAGCCCATGGCCCTGCAGCACCAGGAGGGCGCCTGAGAAAGCACAAGCAGCCACCACCCCCTTTCCTTGGTGGATCCCAGCAGGACTAGCTCAGCCTCTGGGCTGGGCACTCTGCACGGACCACAGAGCTGCTGCCCTGTGACCAAAGCAAAGCTGCTCTTCTCCGCAAGGACACTGACCAGAGCTGTCCGGATCCCGACACAGCTAGCTCCCTCCCTAGTGGCTCTCAGGCACCATACTGTGAGTAGCCAATGCCTCCTGCCCCGTTACTTACCTTCCTCCTCCTCACCAGAGCCAAACCCAGCCAGCGTGACTAAGACGAGGAGTCCCAGCTCCATGGTGCTCATCACAGGCCCAGTCCAGTGCCCTCTCCACACACTGCCCTCCTTAGTTGTTCTGAAGTTTCCAGTCCTTCTCCCACTGGCCTTGGACTCCAGCTTTCAAAAGACAGGTAGTATTTGCTTTTCCATCTCCCCCTCACCCTGGGGATTCTGGCCGGGCTGAGCTGGCTGCCAGCAGGGTCTGGCTCTGTCCTGACCCAGCCTTCCCATGGCGGAAGGGAACTTCGCTTCCATGTGCTCAGGACAGAGACACCTTACAGGTCCAGTAGCTGGGGGAGGACGGGGGGGGGGGACGGGGACGGGGGGAAGAGGCTTCCTTTTAATCCCCATTCTCTCTTCCCTGTAGATAATCCTCTGGCAAAGCGATTACCTTCTGCAGCCTATGCTGTGGCTGCAGCAATTAAAGACCCCAGAGGCCACAATCCCACAGAGGAGCACCAGTGAAGTTTCAGACTGGGCCCTACGGCATTTCCTGACCTTAGGTTCTATTGGTCCATTCCAGGGACAGCTGCATTGCCCCTATATTCACCTGTGGAGCCCCAGGCTCCTTGACCTGAGTAGTGCCATGGAAAGGAGCTAGAGACATCCCAATTCACTGCAGCTTTTGGCACAGATTTGGTTCTTCAATGTGCCAGCTAGGCCCTGGTGCCTGGAATGCTCTTGCTGCGAAGGCATCCTTGGTACAACTGATCAGAACCAGGTTATGCCAAGCATACAAGGTGGGACTCACCTAGCTGAAAGGTGGAAACTAGCCTTTGACCTCTGGGACATGCACAGGTGCCTCCCTGTCCAGTCTCCTCTCAGCCTGGATGTGAGAGCTGAACCTCTATGGAGGCGCTGTTCGCTGCATGAGCACTTAAGGGAGTTTAGAGCCAGCTGAGCAACCCGGAAATCCTCCGACCATCCACGCCAGTTACAGCATGGGCGGGGCAAGCTTACCCCACTCCTCCTGGCAGCGTGCTTCACCCCAGCCTTGGGACTCCACCTCTGGGGTGGGACAGTGTCCAGGGCCCCTTCACGCCTTTGTCCCCTCTGCAGAGGCTACGTATCAGTTGTGAAGGGGCGTGCATGCACACAGTGTTGATCTCTGTCTGTGGGGAATCGGATTGAGAAACCCATTTGACACAGGCCTCCAGACCACTAGAGGATTTTGATCACGACTGTCTGAACTATTTCTAGAGGGGTTGTGTTCCCTGCCCACCTCTGCCTGGGAACACTTTGTCCAACATAAGCTTTCGTGAGCTACAGCTCACTTCATCGGATGCATCCGATGAAGTGAGCTGTAGCTCACGAACGCTTATGCTCAAATAAATTGGTTAGTCTCTAAGGTGCCACAAGTCCTCCTTTTCTTTTTGCGAATACAGACTAACACGGCTGCTACTCTGAAATTTGTCCAAGAGACACTCACCTTCCTTCCCACCTCCCCACTTTTACTCAGGCCTGGTCTGCACTCAAAAGTTACATTAGCATAAGTATGTCAGGCAGGCGTGTGAAGAAACCAAGCCTGACTGGCATAGCTAGGCCAACAAAACCCCAGTGTAGACACAGGTATGTGGATGGAAGAATGCTTCCATTGACATGGCTAGCTGTTCAGAGTGGTGGTGTTCCTACATAAGCAAACTCCTTCCGGTGACATAGGCTGCGTCTATGTTACAGGGCGATGCTGGTATAATCTCCATAGCATGGGCATTCCCTTAGTATCTGAAGGACGAGAAACCAATGTGAGCGTCTACATTCTGAAGAGAGAGCATCCCTTTGGGTGCTGCCCTCCACCACCTCCTGCTTTCAGGACACCACTGTGAATTATGCTCTTAGTGGGTTTGTAATTAGAAAGTGAGCAGATGGCTGGGGGTTTAATGTAAAGTGATTTCTCCATTGAAATAACCTGGAGCTTCAGTGGCTTTTGCTCTGCTGAACTACGCAAGCAGGGAACGGGAAAGGCAGCGACCACCACACCACAGTGGCTGCTGAGGCCACAATCCCACTGCATTGCTGGAGGATGGTCCATTGAGCCTACACACAGTAATTGTTTCCCGGAGTCATAAGCAGAACAAGATACCTGACTTCCGTGCACCTGCTGCACAAAACCGACTCCCTTCAGGGTCCCTCCATTCAGGGCTCTCCAGTGAGCCAGCAAGAATCCTGCCTCAATTATTGCCACTGGCAAATCCCTAATGGCAACCAATGGAAGAACTACTTGGAAAATCCCCCACCAAGCATGCCAGAACTACAGGCCCAGCAGGGCACTGCAACACCTTGCTCAGTTTAGGACAGGAAGTGAAGAAAAATTCTGTATCTAGTAGAAACTGCAGGGAGGTACAATGGCACCATGGGATGTTCTAATGAGCACAAGTGTATTATCCAAAAGAGGGAGTCTCCAGGTGGGGCACTTGCTTTGTGGGAGGAGTATCCAAATCACATTGGTTTCCTAGAGGTCTCCCATCCAAGCCCTGACTCAGGCTGGCCCTGAGCAGAAGGGCAGAGTTACACCAGTTTAACTTAAGTTGCGATTTTAAACCATCTAGTTAAGCCAGTGCCAAAGGCCATGTGGTCACTTATTTGGGTTTAAACCAGGATTCCTGCAGTTTAGCTGAAGTCATTCAAACCACGTTTAAACAAAACCAAAATGCCCCCCTTACACTGAAATAAGACCTCCCCACATAGGGGTTTGCCCTGCTCTAACTGAAGTGGTGCTGACGTGCATGCTGACAGCCCCTCAGCCTGGGAAGGCCAGTCAGAGCTGGGCAGAGAACGGTAATCCTGCTTCGTGAAGGATCCTGAGATTCCAAAACGAAACCCGCAATTTCAAAATCCTCCACAAGCCAGAATGATCGTTTTCCACCTAGCTCGATGGGAGCCCCAGCTCCATGACAGCATGCTGGGCTGGCTGTCCCAGAGCCAGGGATCTGGGCTGCAGAGAAGCCCTGTGCTGGGCTCTCAGCTCTTCCAGGCTCCTTGTCAGTCTGCCAGGCAGGCAGGTTTCAGAACCTTCCATGGCCCCAGATGCAGCTGGCAGAGGCCGTCTTTGCTGCACCCTCAGTACCAGGGGGCAGCTCCCCAGTAAGACAAGCTCCATAATACGCTGGTTAAGGCGATTACAGCTGTCCTGGGAGAGCAGCAGGTGCCCCCATTCGAGGGCTCAGCTTGGAGCAGGGAAGGTTATTCCAGGATTAGAAAGAGCACAGCACCTCCAAGGGAACTGATCACCACCAGAGCCCGTCTACCAGTCCGATGGTGGGACAGAGCTTCCTATTTACCTGCACTTTACAGCCATGTTCCTGCCACATCCCAGTAGGATGGGGTCAGGCTGTCAAGCAACCAGAACCAACCCAAGTTAGACAACAGCAATCTGCAATGGACCTGCTAAAAACTACCCCCAACATGACCTTTGGCTCATGCCTTTCAGCCAACAACAAACTTTTCAAGTGGGCCTCACTTTGTCTGCCCCTGAAATGTGCCCAGCTATGGGAGGAAACGCAGCACTATTTGATTCCCCGTAACACTGCGATATAATGGCTCAGGAAAGAAAGATGAGAACTGTGTCCTCCGCTGAAAAGGCCAGGAGGATTAGTGGCTCGGGAGACCATAATTACCCATGCTGGAGGTTAGCCAAGACAGAAACCTCCTAACAAGCATGGTATGTCAACACCTCACTGATGAGGGTATTGCAAATACATCTAATGATGACTTGGAGGGCAGGAGGGTTGTAGAGTTGTCTCCCAAATCTACAAACCAAAGTTTAGAACCTTGGGATCCCAGGAGAGAAAAAGAGGCCAGCTAGCACAGCTTGGTCCCATGGTAGAGACTTGCTTGCAAGTCGACAGTGATCCTTATGTTACAGCAAGGAAAGGTTTCTGGGTCAATGGGAATGGCAGAGTAGTCCACGTGCAGGGAAGAAGGTTGGGGGAGTGCTATATCCTGTCTGATGAGACAGCGTGCGCGTGGAAAGCTATGGGAGGCACAGAGCAAAAGTAGACACTCCTATGCCGAAGCTGGGGATTCCAGCCGCATGAAGATGGCTCTGTATCACTGGACATACCACAGAGATATGGTAAGAGCTCAAGTGTCACCGGCACCCTAGATATTACAAGGATACGGTCACGAAAATCCCCAACTGCTTGGTCTCATCCCTGCACTAGGGCACATGCAAGAGCCACATTGACAGGGCCACGGCAGACACCACACACTTGAAACCTGACCTGGAACACAGGGCTTTTATTTATTTATTTTTATTATAAAAGCACTTACTTTGCACAGCCAGGAGCCCAGGCCCCAGTGTGGGGAAACCCCTGAGCAAGAACCCGAGGGGAGGACGAAGGCAGCACAAAGGACCCCGAGTGTTGAGAAGGGTGCCCCCAGCTTACACCAGCTCCCCACCAGTGCATGGGGGAGCAGCAACCTGCAAAGGGACAAATGGACCCTTCGGCTGTCCCCTGCTCAGATCAACAAGGTGACAGGGCAGTGTCAATGCAAATACTGATAAGAGATCTGTTTGAGCAAGCTAGAAAGTGGACACTCCGACATATCTGAGACAGGGTCAGGGCATCTTGTTCACCCGAGGGCAACGAGAAACTGGACAGAATGAGCCTGTTTAAGGCCAAACAGCATCTCAGGAGGTAAGCTAATCCACCTGCAGCTCCAAAGGAGTGGAGATTCTGGCTGAGCACGGGGCTCTCAGCAAGCACAGGGACTGAGTCTCTTAGCAGCAGGAGTCTGACCTATCTGCCAGGGACCTTTGGGGTGTAGGGGGGGACACAGCCCAAACCTCTCCCCATGGGATGGAGGGCACTGAAGTCACAAAGCGTTTGTGCTGGGAGACTATTCCACATCTTCCTCCCAGCTCGAATCCCCTTTCCTGCCATGAAAATATCTAAGGCTGCTCCCAGCATCCACTACCACCTTCCTTTCCCAGGCTGGTGGAAGGGAGCTCGATCCCTCTCAACCACTGGGCGCTGACCAGAGCTTTCCTCCATCAGGTCACCCAGCACAGCGCAGTTGCTCCTCAGTGACAGGAGGGCAAAGGGAGACAGCTGAGGCTGGGTGGGGACGTGCTCAGAATCTTCCCGCAGGCAGCACCAACTCCTCTGGGTTTATGATCAAGGACGAGGAGGGACCCCAGCGGGGTGATGGAGAGTGTTTGTGATTCCATCCCTGCCCTCCCAAGCAGGAGAGACACCTGAATTACTTGAAGCCAAAGTGCAGGGAGGCAGCGCTGGCAACTCACATAATCTGTATCCCCAGCTCCTCAGCTGTCTTCTGTAGGCGGTCCATGACGTTCTCCTCCGGCTCCCCGGCCAGGCCGCCGGGCACTGCTGCCTGCTCCTCTGAGGGTGCGTTGGCCATGACGTAGTACACCGTCTCGTTCTCCCCACGTTCGTTGGTCCTGTTCACCACACGGATGATGGGGCCGAGCGGGGCGCTGGACTCTCGGTCTGGCGAGGCCTCAGCTCTCGGGAAGGTGCTTTGCTGAGCTGGGTCAGGGTTGGCAGCAGCATAGGCCGGTGGTGGCAGCGGGGCCACCTGTGATTCCATGTCATTGGCCTCCTCCAGGGAGGCCTCTGCCGGTGGCTCCAGGATGATCCCCTGCAAGTTGCCCTCACCCTCTGTCAGCACCACGCACTCCGCCGTGCCATCCAGCAACTCGCCCTGCTTCTCCCGGTCCTTCAGCAGCTGCTCAGTCAGCTCCACGCTTTCGTAGCGCACTAGCTGCAGCCGCATGTAGCCGTCTTCGTGTTCCTTGTACCTGGGCAGGCCAGAGAGAGGGAGGGTTAGAACGGGGCTGGAAGGCAGATGCCTTGTGCAGTTACCGAGGGAGGACTGACTGCTTGGAGTGCTGCCCAGCGTGCTAGCCCACCCAACGCCAGGCTAGGTGGTGATCAGTGGCAGTTGCTACCCGAAGGAGGTTATTTTGCAGCACTGATATTGCTATGGGGCAGACATCCCAGCACACAGCGCCCAGAGTGTTAACAGGCAGTGCAGTGGGGGGGCGTTGTCAGGGAGGGTAAATCCTTTCATCCCCAGCCCCTAACAGTTAGCAGCCGCATGCCAGATAGAGGGTTTACATCTCCACTCAGGCCAGGTTTGGTTTCTTTGTCCTGTCCAGTTTCCATGGGCAAATTTGAGAGCCCTCCTTTGCTTCCTCACCCTTTTAAGCCCAGGAACATTTGGGGGAGACTGCGGTTTGCTGGAGATTACACCGGATAAGGCATCCTCAAAACCTGACCGGGCTTAGACTGGGGTGACTCTCTCAGGCTGAAGAGAGCTGGATCTGGCTGCAGCGTGAGCCTGCGAATTCCACAAGCAACCCAGTAGATCCAGCCGCATTAGTGTGGCTGCTGCCCAGCAGCCCTTGTCTCTGATCTGCCACTGGAGGCTGCTATCTAGGTACTGATATGGCACCCATCACCATAGTATCAGAGAACCCAGGAGCAACGCCCTCCACCCCCACATGACTGTCCCCTACTGCCCCCTGTGGCTTGAGAGAGGTAGTGAGCTTTGCACACAGGAGGGGCTGGAGGTCCAGTACCTGAAGCGAGGATGGCCCGAGGGCCACTTGAACTGGTGTTTCTTCCTTAGGTGCACGGTGAGGTTGTTCCCACGTGTGAAGCACTTGTCACAGATGTGGCACTTGTACCGGGGTTCCGAGTCACCCTGGGGAGGGAGCGAGAAGAAAGGAAGGATGTAAATGTCATGGGATTCAAACCCAAGCTGCCTTGTGGGAAGCCAGGCTTTCCAAGAGGAACAAACATCCTACAAGTTTTATAGCAAGCATCATTCTGGCAAAGGAGTGGGGACTGGTAACACTTCTGATGGGCTTGGCATTTCCAATCCATGGGATGGAGGGAATCTCATTACCTAGGAGATCCTGTGCCCCGACTGCTAGTTGTTTGGGACTGCTTTGCAAAGCGGCCACAGAATCATAGAAACGTCAGACGGGAAGGGACCTCAGTAGGTCATTTAGTCCTGTCCCCTGCACCGAGGCAGGGCTAAGTACTGGAGCCATACCCATGTCTGTAGAAATACAGGTATTAAAATGCTTGCCCCATGCCAGAGAGTAGCAGCAGAACACACGCAGTCAGCCATGCAGGGAGGAACAGGGGCAGGCGGACCCCAACCAGTGCTCCCAAGGGATTAGCCAGAAGGAGATACAAACTGACGGCTCATAAAATTAGCACAATTGCTAGGTTAGTGGATAGTGGCCAAGAATGGAGAACTACCACTCAAATCCCATAAGCCACCATTTATAGCCACAGGAAAAAGCAGGCAAGATTCTAGGCAAACATGTTAACACACCACATAGCCTGAATTACTGGGTGTGTATGCCCAGTTCTGGTCAGTGTTCTCTGCGTCTTTAGTGTCTTCAATGCAGGGACCTGCTACTTGCTTGCCAGGGCTCACCTACTGTTCAGTACATCTTTGCTACTTCTGACCTTAGTATCTACGAATCTATGAAACTGCTGCTCTTCCTGCCCTCGACCCTGCACTGGAAGGGGGAGCAACTCCCTGTTCCCAGCCAGAGAGCAGAGACCAAAAAAGAGACCAGACAGCCAGAAGGAAAGTCATGAGAGACCCACCCTCCCCAGATAACTTGTGTTGTCTCATCCGAACCCGTTTAGCCATCAGCACTGCAGCAGGTGGAGAGAGGAACATGAAGGACAGAAGAGTCAATTCCTCCCGGAGCTGATGGATACCAAGTGTGACCATGGATTGTTCATGGGTGGGTGAGGAAAATGAAGCTGAAATTTCCATTAGGGTTTTATGGTCACCTCGAGGACTAGGGCGGGTTTGGGAGGAAGAATGGTCTGGTGGAAGCCAGGAGATGTGGATTCAAATCCCAGCTCTGCCAGACTCCCTGTATGACCTTGGACAAGTAATTTGGTCTCTCTGTGCCTCACTCCCCCCATCTGTCTAGCGGGGAGGACAGCATTCCCTTCCTCTCAGTTTTTATCTTTATCTAGATTGTAAGCTCTTCAGTGTAGGGCTCATCTCTCACGACGCGTATGTGCAGCACCTAGCACACTGGACCGCAACCTTACTTGGAGCTTCTCAACATTATTGCAATATAAACAGTGGGAACAGCAGCAGATCCCCTGGTTCCCTCCCCACCTCGTGGACTTTCCTGTAGTGCAGTTTGATGGAGCAGAGGGAGCGCGCAGTGAAGCTGCAGGCTTCGAACTCGCAGCGATAGGCTGGCTCTTTGCTGTGAGTGTCCAGGTGCTTCCTCAAGTCAATGAGATTTTTACAGCTGAAAGGAAAGAACGTGGGAATGAAGCCAAATGCGTGAGAGACCCCTACCCCATTCTCCTTCCCGGCCCATCAGTGCTTCTCTCCCAGCCCCTGACAGCCCAGCTGCCCTCCCTTCACCCCACACAGACCCAGGCCCCACCTCTGAACCCCAGACCCACTCCCCCATAGGGAAGTACAATCACAGGGACCCCACCTGTAGTCACAGTAGTCACACTTGAAAGGCCGCTCCTCGCTGTGCCGGAAGCGGATGTGGTTGCGCAGGGAGGAGGGTAGTGGGCAGGTCATGTCGCACAAGGGGCACTTGTAGTGGTTTACTGCTCGAGAAAAACGAGAGGGAAGCCCATCACCATGGAGTGGGGAGAGGGAATGCACTTGCCAGAGCGACGGCTGGAAGAGAGAGAAGGGCCTTTACTCACCATGGTTCCTCATGTGATCACGCAGCAGCCTCTCTGTAGCAAACCTCTTGGAGCAGTGGGAGCACTGAAACCTCTGCTCTGTAACAGTGGGGAAAGGTGGGGGAGAGAGAAGAGAGTGCACAAAGGGGGAGGGGAAAGGACAGAAAGAACAAAGCAGAGAGAATATAGCACAGATAGCAATACACAGGAGGAAGAGAATTAGTTATATCAGAGCCAGGCGCCCTTTCGCCTCATTCACAGCCACTGTGGGCGCTGCCCCTGGCTAGAGAGCCAGTGTCTTGCCTTCCAGTGAACACAGTCCTCCCAGTGCTACCACTGCATGACTCAGGAAGCAACCCCAGAACCAATTCTACTGCCTTCAAGAACGGTCACAAAACAAGTCTAACCAGGAATGAGATGCATGGGAGCTGGGGACATACAGGGAGAGCTGGAAATGTAGACAGGGCCCCTGCAGGGAGCTATGGGTAGACCAGCAACGCCTTTCACTTTTAGCTACAGGCCCAGCCTGAAGCGGAGTACTGACTCCAGCACCCAGTATGGCACAAAGGAGCTCAAGGAGATTTTAAATGAATGTAGCACTGGCAGAAGGGCCTGCCTGCCAGCCCGAGACTTTAGTCCCATGTCCACAGAGCAAGAATGGCACGGGATACTGCAAGACAAACCTCTCCCGTGCTGCCCCACCCTTGCCTGAGAGAGGAATTCAGTCTCAATGGCCTATTCAAGCAGCTGATCTCTCCGGTGAGCCTGAGAGCCAATCAGTGCCACTATTCACAGTGCTCGTGCCCTGCTAATGCTTTGCTCCTAGAACAGAGATAGCTGCTGACAAATCAAATGACCCAGCTAGAAGCAACAGGGTAGATCAGGGACAATCCCACCCCCACTCAGGCACTTACGATCCAGGGCGGTCTGCCGGCGGATGTGGTCAAAGAACTTGGTGTTGTTGGAGAACATCCCGCCACAGGTAGGACAGGCCACTACCTTCTCCTGCGTGTGGCTGCGCAGGTGTTCCCGCAGCTTACAGCGTCCTTTGAAGGTGCAGTCACAGTCTGAGCATAAGAGGCAGAGACATTGGTTAGCTCCTTGGCAAAGGACCGGACAGCTCCGAGAAACTTTCAGTAGCACAGGCAGAGGAAAATGCCTTGGACTCAACAGCCCCAAACCACGCAGAAGCTTTCAACTTGCTGTTCTGCTGGGTGGGAGGTTAATGCTGTCCCCAGTGGGAAGCCAGGCCAAGCATGCTGCAGATATGTAGAAGACTGGATACAGGCCTACAGACAGCATAGATCTGTCATTCCACGGGACACATGAGCAGCTGAGATGATCACGTCCACATGAAAGACAGCAGTTATTGTTACAGTTAAACCAGCACTTCCCCCTTGCTGTTCTGTTCAGAGGCCTTGATACCGTCTATTAAATGCCTCAACTGGAATCACCGGGTATTGAGTCCACCCATGGTGGGCAGGTTCCAGTCAATTCTCTGACTGGGGTTGGGAAGTTCTTGGGCAGTTTTACACTCCAGGGACTGAGAACCCCTTAGCAAAGGAAGGAGGGAAGTCTAAATCAAAAGGGCTGGGGACTAAGAAGCAAGAGTCCCAGGTTATATTCCTCACTCTTACATTGACATACCGTGGGCACCCCAGCAAGCTGACACTGTATTTTGGTTTCTGGAGCCAACCAGTGGGGAAATGGAGAGCACTTTGAGAGCCTCAGTGGAAAGGAGCTACTGAAGTGCAAAGCCTTGTCATTTGTCAGCTGCTCCCCAGCCTCGCCCCAGGAGAGCTTTCAAGTTCTCACATGTGCAGGGACTGTATTTTGTTCCGTGTTTGTACAGCACCAAGCACAATGAGGTTCTGGTCCATGACCGGGGTTCTTAAGTGCTACTGTAACATAAATAAAATCAAATACCTTTCCAGCCACAAAAGACCACATGGTTCTCCTTCCCAGCTGCCTTGTATTCTGAACAGAAGCTGTGATCCTCCACATGCCGGTAGAACCATTCAGGGTTATCAAAAGATCTCTGTTGCGGGGAGACAAAGACACAAGAATATTGGTCAGCACATGCATACTAGCAATTCTGATACAGCTCAACTTTGACAGAGCTTCTTCCCTCCTCTCCTCTGGGGAAAACACAGAAAAGCACAATCCAGGCATCCAAAATTGTTGCAGTGCTCGTAATGCTGAGACCATCTCCCTACCCTAGAACAGAGATTTTGTTGGCTTGGACCACGTAAGGCCCTGTCTGTGCCCCCACTTGAACTGGGCTGAGATCTCAAGGGTTACACCACATTGAATGCTCGGGAACTGGAGATTTGCTGACACTGTGTGAGACTAAGCCCCCCTTTTCTCCTGCTCCCACCTGACTGCACACCTACAGACAGGATTTAGGAGGGCTGATCCCCTCCCTGTTGCTCTCACCTCACAGTACTCCCACAGACACAAGAAGTTTTCCTGGATCTCAGGGATGATGTTGCGGCTCTGGAAGTCCAGCTGACAGTGGGTCACATCTGACTGGCTCTGCAAGGCCTGCAGCCCCCACTGCTTCAGCTTAGTGTGGTAACAGTGGAAGTAAACGTGGCGGACCAGGTCTACAGAGCTCTCTGGGGAGCAGAAGCCACATTCCTGCCACAGACAGGTGTATTCTTCTGCAACATAAACAGGAAACACATTCATTTTCTACAGATTTGTCAGTAACTGTCTCCCTGTTAAAGCTTAAGTCCCCATGAGCAAGAAAAGACGCAAGCTTTCTTCATAGCTTTCCTTCCCTGCAACTGGTGGAACCACCTACTTATGGTGAGAAGAGAACTCTCATCTTCCTACTTGTTCAGTTCTGGACTCTGTTCTAGAAGGCTAAGCCTCTGGCTTACAATCCACTACAAAGGCAGCCAATACCTTGCACTCAAGACAGTCAATATAAACATCAACTATTTACAAAAATAAAAATAAATCTCCTTAGCTCTGTTAATAGCTCAGGTGTTCACAGATCCCAGTCCAGTGCTCAGAATGTTAGACTATGTATCACACTTTAAAAATATGTATCAGTTAACACTGCTAAGCATCTCATTGAAAAGCCCAGCATAGATTTAACTGAAGTCACATAATGAAGAGGATTACGATTTAAGGGTTTATAGGTTAATTGACAGCAGAGCGTACTAGATCCGCTGGAAAGTTTATTTTCTTACCAGAATGCAGAACACGTTATCTCCAGTGGACACTATGGCATCACCCTCACTAAGAAATTCACTATTGAAATTTCTCCATGTCTACCAGGGTGGTTCAGAATAATGAAGGGAGCTTGATGACCCACCTTACGGCTCTTCCAACCCAAGAGTCCAATTTTAGTTATAGTTTTTAATTGCACTCAGGGTCCCTTACCAAGAGGGTTCATCTCATCCCTATGTTCCCCACGAAGATGCAGCTGCAAATGCTCCGACACATGATCACAAAACTCCTCCATCTTAGAGGCCACATAGGTGCACATCTCCCACTCACACTGGAGCACCAGCTTTTCCTTATTGCCGGCCTTCCCAGGAGGCATGGTCCGACCTTTAGGCACTGAGAGATGGTGTTACAAAGACAGGAAATGTTTGGCACGCCATTCAGTCACCCAGAAAACCACCACCACCAAAAAAGATGCCCTCTACAAAGCCGTGGGGGTTCCTAGATGCAGCGTGGGCCATGGCACAATGGGGACAGAACTGTGACTGCGGTCAGCTCAGAGGGGCAACACAGCACAACGTTGTATTTTGCAGATCCAGCCCCTGCCCCGGGGAGTCTCGGGGGGGGGGGGGAGGTTGTGACAATCCACATCTGGAATAAGATTCAGGCAGGAGCGCCAGGAAAATCCAGAGACAGGAGACACCAGCGTCCCCCACCAACACCCTCCTCCCCCGCGGGCCGCCAGGAGCCCGCCGCCGGCCCCGGAGCGCAGGGGGCGCCGTGTGGACGCAAACCCTGCGGTCCAGCGCCGCCGCCCGGGTCACAGCGCAGGGGCTGCCCCCGCCGCAGGGGGCAATGGCCGGATCGGACCCAGGGGGCCCGGCTCCCCCAGCCCCGGGGGGCGGGTGGGGGGGGCTGGGGACAGCGGGTCCCGAGACGTGGGGAACCTGCCGCGGGGAGCCACGAGAGCGGGGGGCGGGGCCGGGGCCCGCTTCGGCCAGGCCTGTCCGCGGGAGGGGGCGGGGAAGGACCCGACCCCTCCTTACCGGCGGCTCCTCGCGCCGGCAACTGCCGGCTTCCCAGCTCCGGGCCCGCCGGGGGGCGGGCGCAGCAACCGCAAGGCCGGCCGCCTCCGCAGCCAATGGCAGCGCCTCCTCCCAGCCCGGCAGCCAATCCGAGCGAGGGGCGGCCGCGCGGGGAGTCGGGCGGAAAGGCCTCGGCCGGAAACGCCCCCCGCCAGGCCGGGACACTAAGGTTCCGGCTGCCGGGCTACACGGAAGTGCCCGAGACTGGCTCCGGAAGCGGAAATAAGCAATGGAGGCCCTTTCGGGAGGGGGAGATGCTGAAAACGTTTACGTCTCCGTTTTGACCTTTGACCCCGGCAGAGGTCGGAAAACTCAGTGGTTCCGACCACTTCTCATTTGACCTTTGAACTCTGACCCACTACAGCCTATCCGTGACCGTCTGAGCCCTGTGGGCCAGGAACTGTCCGTGAGCCCGGCCGCTTGACCCCGGCCCATGCGCCTCAGGGTAGGTGGAGTCAGGCATCTCGGTGACCTCTTGACCTTTGACCTTCTGAACTCTGGCCTCAGAGGCCCTTTGAGCTTCCCAGCAGCCAGGGTCAGGGCTGTGAGAGCAGTCGCCAGAGGCAGAGGACACCAACCCCTGTCAAGTGGCTGGGGGTGAGAATCAACCACCCGTTGCCACTTCTCCTGCAGCACCGAGCCCCATCGCCCCTGCCGGCACGAGGTGCAACCCGTGCGGGGACCTCCCACCGGATCTGTCTCTGACCCCAGTAGAAACGCACATCAGTGAGCCCACTGTGCCAATGACCCCTTAGCCATTCTAGGCCTATGGTACTAGGGCTGTCACTGCTGCAAAGCGCTCTGCACACCACAGTAACATACCTACACTAATAAACACAAAACCTGCACTCACTGCAAACACACACAAAACTCATCACTTAATGAAACATCCAACGAACGGGAGCTGTAGCTCACGAAAGCTTATGCTCTAATAAATTTGTTAGTCTCTAAGGTGCTACAAGTCCTCCTGTTCTATATGCAGATACAGACTAACACGGCTGCCACTCTGAAACATGCATATCTAGTTAGAAGCAAAACACTTGAAGAAAGAGGTGGAAAAACTGGAGAGAGTCTAGAGGAGAGCAACTAAAATGACAGAACGTTTAGAAAACCTGACCTCTGAGGAAAAGTTAAAAAGTCTGGGCATGTTGAGTTTTGAGAAAAGAAGACCGAGGGAGGATCAAATAACAGTCTTCAACTAAGTAAAGGGTTGTTACAAAGAGGATGATGATCAATTGATCTTCATGTCCACTAAAGGTAGGACAAAAAGTAATGGGCTTAATCTGCAGCAAGATGGATTAACGTTACATATTAAGAAAATTTTTCGAACTATAAGGATAGTTAAACACTGGAATAAGTTACCAATCAAGGTTGTGAAGCCCCCATCATTGGAGGTTCTTTAGGACAGGTTGGACAATACCGGTTAGGGATGTTCTAGATATATTTGGTCTTGTTTCAGGGCAGGAGGATGGACTAGATGACCTCACTTTCAATGTCCTTTCCAGTCCTACATTTCTATGATTCTAAAGCCCAAATCTTCAAAGGTATTTAGACATCTAACTCCCAATGAAATCAATGGGAATTAGGCACCTGAATACCTTTGAAGATCTGGGCCCAAAGCCTTAACGTCAGGTTAGGAAATAATGTTACCTAGTCCTCATCTTCAGGAACTCTCTCATTCTCTGGGACCGATTTATGATTTATCATTAGTGAACCTCATGGTCACAGCTTCTGTTTCCATCATAATTATTCAGATATAAATGCACCATTGGGCCAGAGGAGCAGGACAGCGGATAAGCCTCTGAAACTTACTGAATACGATTTTTATCCCCAAAATATTCATATTTTTTATTGGGTTCATCTTTTATTTAATGTTGAAAATCATGAAAGCCAATGCGAAAATTCATGCAAATAACACTAGGCAAATAAGAGGCAGAAGTTCTGAGTCAGTCAATACAAATAGCAATCCTGCTGTGAAAACAGATACACATCACTGGGACTTTGAAACCTTCCTGCAGGATCTTATTTGAGAACAATGCTTTCTATTCTTCCTGTGGTATGTGTGTGTGTGTGTAACCTGGATCATAAACAATGAGGCAAAAAAGGTTATAACATGTTTCTTTGGCGCTCTACAATGTGTATCACATTTATTTTCAGCATCATCTATTAAAGGGCATTGCAAACTTTTGTGGACCGTAATCTGAACAACCTTTTCCCCCCTTTTCTCTCTGTTTGCAAAGTCCATCTAACTACTGGTGTTTTCTACCTCCATCTGCCGCTGAATTAGGAATTCAGGATCAAGATCTTAATGTTCAGTGTCATTTTTGTTAAGAGATAATATCAATGCCAGTACCCCAGCTTTTTTATTTTTGAGTACCAAATAAACAGGTGCCTACACCCACAATGGAAAGATACAGATTATTTAAAGAAACATGTCTGTTGCAAACTTTCTAAAGAAAACTGTTAAAAATTTTTTTTTTTGGGGGGGGGTGTGTGACTGGGGGGACAAATTGTAGGTTTCATTTCTTATAGAGGTTTTCTTACGTATTTTTAAAGTGTTTTGCTTCCACCTTAAGATTGTGCTTACCTGTTTGCTTATATATAGGACTTGATCCAGCAAAGCCCTTAAAAACTTATTGATTTCAATAGGGCTACCCATCTGCTCTTAGTTAAGCATATTCTTAAGTATTTTGCTGGACTGAGGGCTTATTGATATCATATTATCTCACAATCAGTATACCTGCCTCTCAAGGTTGTTGTATGGATTGATTAATAGATGTAAAACACTTTTGAAGATATCAAAAGTAATGCAAGGGGCCCAATCATGCAAACGTGTATGCATATACTTAACTTTAGGCTTTAGTAGTTGCTTTGGGGCCCAAGCATTGAGTATATCATGAGATTTCATATGCTGGCTCTTTTTCCTCTGTAACTTGACAAAGTGTGAAATCCTGCAATATGTTATGTTAACTGAAATTTACAGTTGGTCACCATGGTAAACAGGGCAAACGTTGTCATTTGTTGTATAAACAAGTAAACCCCTCTCATCCCAGAAGGATCAATCAAATTACTGGCAGCTGGAGTTCACAGTCAAACATAGTAAATTAACTGTTTTATTATCCATTAACTTTATGCTGCATGTGTCACGCTGTCTGGAGTGGCTCACAACTGTGAGTGCCTACCTCAGATTGTCAGAAAACAAGGGCAGACATCCCAAATTGGAGGTATGTTTTATAATTAGATTTCACCAAGTCAGTAACAAATGTGAACATTTGGAGAACGATACCAGTCTTGCCAGGGAGTCATAGACCCTTTGACTCTCCAGCCTATCTTGCCACTCAGACAAACTGCACTTTGTGATAAAAGGGTACTTAAATCTAAAATCACACCACAGCTGGTTTCTCCCAGTTCAAGGAGACCATCCACTTACCCCAGCTCAATTGATACTCCACATTTTATACCGAAGACAATGATGGCAGCCAAATTTATAGCTAATAAATCTCTAGTTAGTTTACTAAGAAAAAAGAATGAGTTATTGAGAAATTAAAGCAGGTAAAATATAACAACAGGTGAATCACAATTTGTAACTTCAAATGGTAGCAGTGGTGTAATAAATGGCCAGTTTCCCAAAAGTCTTTCAGGGCTACCCAGAATAACTCTGGGGATCTCAGTCTTCTCATTCAGCTATTCTGCCCTGTTAGAATCCAAACAGTCCAGAGATGAAGGATTTTTCTTTGGATCCATTCTTATATCTTCTCACAGAAGACAAGCTGACAGTCTCTCTACCAACATGGACTTTTCCTTTGATGATGATGAGTGAGGAATGCACTTAGTCTTTTGACTACAGGTCATCACACACAGTGGCCGTTCTGATAAAGTCCATCATTAGCATTCCACCAGGCTTCTTTGATGTCTGATGAGTTATTTAGTTACAGGGGTATTTACGCTTTAAATGTTTGCTATTACGTTATAACAGGAACAGATAAGTTAAAACAATGTATGTAACATCCCTTCAGTTTTATAACGTTTAAACACCCAAAACACTAATCACTTTGATCTATACTAATCCACAAGTGAAATGACCTGAAAACAGTCTAGCATGATCTGATCGGCCAGTGTCACAGCAGTGTCACAACATAAAATAATGTTATTTAACAACAAACAGCAAAAATGCTCTCCATTTAGCAATGGATTTAAATCAAAATTTGAATTAATATTACATCTGTTTTGTCTTAGTAAAGTGCTTTGTCTTAGTAAATTATTAGCAAAGTTTGTTTTGGGGCAGGCAAATAGAATAGAAAAATTAAACGGGATGGTGTAAGGTGTGTAATATGACCCAGTGGGTTCTGTTATGGTTACAGGGCAATACTCAATTGGCTGTATATCTGTTTCCTATTATGAATCCTGATCCTGAAAACCAAATAAATGGAAGATATGTGCCTAAAACCCCTACACTGCATTGAAAATCTCAGTCCTATGTTCTGGGAAGGCAGGTGTGTGATAAGAACTGGGGTCTGTGGTAAGAAGGATATTGGTTGGGTTTTGATTTCATCTTTGGTTCATTATTTTCTTGGCTTGGCATGAGGAGCAGCTGCAGGTTCAAATGTTTTTTTAATGCCATTATTTTTAATTGATAGCAAAGACACCTAGAGTCAATAGATACTTCTGGAACTCTAGGGAGCAATCTTGGATCCATTGAAGTCAATAACAAAACTGCCATGGACTTCAATGGGGCCAGAATTTCACCTATATCTTTTAGATCTAAAGAAATCAAGCAAATAAGATTCAGGAATAAGAGATGGAAGCAGACAGGGCTAGTGAGGAGTGCTGACAATAGGTAAGCAGGTAGAAAGGTGACACTATTGCTTAGTATGCAAAAACATATTCCTTTTACTGTGACCTAATACCACCTTCCAAGCTTTATTGGCTCCTTGTTACTTCTTGACATGAACCTTGATTGTAAGCTCTCTGGGGCAGGTGCTGGCTTGTTCTACATAATTTCCTGCTAAACTCTGTTTTTTTCTATCTTATCCTCCTACCCTTCTCCACTCTGTTGGTCTGTTCTGTTACATCCTGTCTGACTCCTAGCCTATGAACTCTGGGGCAGGGCTGTCAGACTT